GGCAAGTTTTTTATGAATTTAAAATTTGGCTAAAAATGTGATGGTATCCCTAGATCTCGAGGCCAAAACTTAAAAAAATTATAATTTAGACATTACTCACAATTCTTTTTTACATGAAACTTTTAAAAAGGATTTTACATGCAAATATAAATATCCATGTCAAATTTGGCAATTTTTTGATGAATTAAAAATTTTGCCAAAAATGTGATGTTACCCCCTAGGGCTCGATCCCAAAACTAAAAAAATTATAATTTATACATTCCTGACAAGTTGTTTTGACATGAAACTTTTATAAATGATCTTACGTGCAAATATAAATATCCATGCCAAATTTGGCACGTTTTTTGATTAATTTAAAATTTGGGCAAAAATGTGATGGTACCTAGAGCTTGAGGCCAAAACTAAAAAAATTATAATTTATACCTTATTGACAAGTCGTTTTGACTTGAAACTTTTATAAAGAATCTTACATGAAAATATAAATATCCATGTCAAATTTGGCACGTTTTTTGATGAATTAAAAAATTTGGCTAAAAATTGTGATGGTACCCCTAGAGTCCGAGGCCAAAACCAAAAAAATTATAATTTAGACATACTGTCAAGTCTTTTTGACATGAAACTTATAAAAAGTATTTTACATTCAAAAAGAATATCCATGTCAAATTTGGCAAGTTTTTTTATGAATTTAAAAATTGGCCAAAAAATGTGATGGTACCCTTAGAGCTTAAGGCCAAAACTAAAAAAATTATAATTTAGACATTACTGACAAGTCGTTTTGACATGAAACTTTTACAAAGGATTTTACATGCAAATAGGAATACCCATGTCAAATTTGGCAAATTTTTTGATGAATTTAAATTTTGGCTAAAAATTGTGATGGTACCCCTATTGTTCGAGGCCAAAACTAAAAAAATTACTCCCTCCTTCCCATGAAACATTTTCCGTTTCAAAAAACGGCGCCTTTAAAATGAGTAATTTTGGTGCTATTTTCTAATTATGATTAATCTATTCTACACATCTCATCCTACTCTTTTATAAAGTAAAGGCAAAATTAGAAAATAATACCAAAATTATTCAATTTAAAGGCGCGCCATTTTTGAAACAGGAAATGTTTCATGGGACGGAGGGAGTATAATTTAGACATTACTGTCAAGTCTTTTTTACATGAAACTTTTTAAAAGTATTTTGCATTCAAAAAGAATATACATTTCAAATTTGGAAATTTTTTTTATTAATTTAAGATTTGGCCAAAAAATGTAATGGTACCCCTAGAGCCGAGGCCAAAACTAAAAAAAATTATAATTTAGACATTACTGACAAGTCTTTTTGACATAAAACTTTTAAAAAGGATTTTACATGCAAATAGAAATATCCATGTCAAATTTGGAAATTTTTTGATGAATTTAAAATTTGGCCAAAAAATGTGATGGTACCCATAGAGCTCGACGCTAAAACTAAAAAAGATTATAATTTAGACATTACTGAGAAGTTGTTTTGATATGAAACTTTTAAAAAGGATTTTACATGCAAATACAAATATCCATGTCAAATTTGGCACGTTTTTTGATTAATTTAAAATTTGGCCAAAAATTGTGATGGTACCCCTAGAGCTCAAGGCGAAAACTAAAAAAATTATAATTTATACATTATTGACCAGTCGTTTTGACATGAAACTTTTACAAAGGATTTTAAATGCAAATAGAAATATCCATGTCAAATTTGGCAAATTTTTTGATGAATCTAAAATTTGGCTAAAATTTGTGAGGGTACCCCTAGAGTTCGAGGCAAAAACTAAAAAAATTATAATTTAGACATTACTGTCAAGTCTTTTTGACATGAAACTTTTAAAAATTATTTTACATTCAAAAAGAATATCCATGTCAAATTTGGCAAGTTTTTTTATTAATTTAAAATTTGGCCAAAAAATGTGATGGTACCCCTAGAGCTCGAGGCCAAAACTAAAAAAAGTTATAATTTAGACATTCCCGACAAGTCTTTTTGACATGAAACTTCAATAAAGGATTTTAGATGCAAATAGAAATACCCATGTCAAATTTGGAAATTTTTTGATGAATTTAAAATTTGGCCAAAAAATGTGATGGTACCCATAGAGCTCGACGCTAAAACTAAAAAAAATTATAATTTAGACATTACTGAGAAGTTGTTTTGATATGAAACTTTTAAAAAGGATTTTACATGCAAATACAAATATCCATGTCAAATTTGGCACGTTTTTTGATTAATTTAAAATTTGGCCAAAAAATGTGATGGTACCCCTAAGGCTCGAGGCGAAAACTTAAAAAATTATAATTTAGACATTATTGACCAGTCGTTTTGACATGAAACTTTTACAAAGGATTTTAAATGCAAATAGAAATATCCATGTCAAATTTGGCAAGTTTTTTGATTAATTTAAAATTTGGCCAAAAAATGTGATGGTACCCCTAGAGCTCGAGACGAAAACTAAAAAAATTATAATTTAGACATTACTGACCAGTCGTTTTGACATGAAACTTTTACAAAGGATTTTACATGAAAATAGAAATATCCATGTCAAATTTGGAAAACTTTTTGATGAATTTAAAATTTGGCTAAAAACTGTGATGGTACTTATAGAGTTCGAGGCAAAACCAAAAAAATTATAATTTAGACATTACTTTCAAGTCTTTTTGACATGAAACTTTTAAAAAGTATTTTACATTCAAAAAGAATATCCATGTCAAATTTGGCAAGTTTTTTAATTAATTTAAAATTTGGCCAAAAAATGTCATGGTACCCCTAGAGCTCGAGGCCAAAACTAAAAAAAATTATAATTTAGACATTACCGACAAGTCGTTTTGACATAAAACTTTTAAAAAGGATTTTACATGCAAATAGAAATACCCATATCAAATTTGGCAAATTTTTTGATAAATTTAAAATTTGGCCAAAAAAAGTGATCTCTAGAGCTCGAGGCCAAAACTAAAAAAATTATAATTTATACATTACTAACAAGTCTTTTTGACATAAAATTTTTAAAAAGGATTTTACATGCAAATAGAAATATCCATGTAAAATTTGGCAAATTTTTTTATAAATTTATAATTTGGCCAAAAAATGTGATGGTAACCCTTGAGCTCGAAGCCAAAACTAAAAAAAATTATAGTTTAGACATTACTGACAAGTCTTTTTGACATGAAACTTTTACAAAGGATTTTACATGCAAATAGAAATATCCATGTCAAATTTGGCAAATTTTTTGATGAATTTAAAATTTGGCTAAAAAATGTGATGGTACACCTAGAGTTCGAGGCAAAAACTAAAAAAATTATAATTTAGACATTACTGTCAAGTGTTTTTTACATGAAAATTTTAAAAAGTATTTTACATTCAAAAATAATATCCATGTCAAATTTGGCAAGTTTTTTGATATATTTAAAGTTTGGCCAAAAAATGTGATAGTACCCCTAGAGCTCGAGGCGAAAACTAAAAAAATTATAATTTAGACATTACTGACAAGTCTTTTTGACATGAAACTTTTAAAAAGGATTTTACATGCAAATATAAATATCCATGTCAAATTTGGAAATTTTTTTGATAAATTTAAAATTTGGCCAAAAATGTGATGTTACACCTAGAGCTCGAGGCAAAAACTTAAAAAATTATAATTTAGACATTACTGTCAAGTCTTTTTTACATTAAACTTTTAAAAAGTATTTTACATTCAAAAACAATATCCATGTCAATTTTGGCAAGTTTTTTGATTAATTTAAAATTTGGCCAAAAAATGTGATGGTACCCCTAGAGCTCGAGACGAAAACTAAAAAAATTATAATTTAGACATTACTCACCAGTCGTTTTGACATTAAACTTTTACAAAGGATTTTACATGAAAATAGAAATATCCATGTCAAATTTGGAAAATTTTTTGATGAATTTAAAATTTGGCTAAAAACTGTGATAGTACTTATAGAGTTCGAGGCAAAACCAAAAAAATTATAATTTAGACATTACTTTCAAGTCTTTTTGACATGAAACTTTTAAAAAGTATTTTACATTCAAAAAGAATATCCATGTCAAATTTGGCAATTTTTTTAATTAATTTAAAATTTGGCCAAAAAATGTCATGGTACCCCTAGAGCTCGAGGCCAAAACTAAAAAAAATTATAATTTAGACATTACCGACAAGTCGTTTTGACATGAAAATTTTACAAAGAATTTTACATGCAAATAGAAATACCCATATCAAATTTGGCAAATTTTTTGATGAATTTAAAATTTGGCCAAAAAAAGTGATCTCTAGAGCTCTAGGCCAAAACTAAAAAAATTATAATTTATACATTACTGACAAGTCTTTTTGACATAAAATTTTTACAAAGGATTTTACATGCAAATATAAATATCCATGTCAAATTTGGCAAATTTTTTGATGAATTTAAAATTTGGCCAAAAAATGTGATGGTAACCCTTGAGCTCGAAGCCAAAACTAAAAAAAATTATAATTTAGACATTAATGACAAATCTTTTTGACATGAAACTTTTACAAAGGATTTTACATGCAAATAGAAATATCCATGTCAAATTTGGCAAATTTTTTAATGAATTTAAAATTTGGCTAAAAAATGTGATGGTACACCTAGAGTTCGAGGCAAAAACCAAAAAAATTACTCCCTCCGTCCGGAAATAAACTTCCTACTCTACCTTTTTTTCGTTCGAAAATAATCTTCTCATTCTACTATTTTATACCACTTTTTCCTAAATTACCCCCTCTTTTCTTTTTCTGCTCCTGTCTCTCACTCTCTCCCCTCTTCCACTTTTTCTTCTTTTTTCGGTCCTTTCTTTCTCCTCCTCTCTTCCTCCGTCATCTCATCCTCCTCTCCTCTCCTCCATTCAATTTTCTTTTCTTTTTTCTTCTTCTTCTTTCTCCTCCTCTCTCTTCCTTCGTAATCTCCTCTTCTTCACTTTTCCCCTTCATCTTTTCCCTTCTTTATCTCCTCTTATTTCTCTTATCTCTCTTCCAGATCTGAGCTTGGCAGCGATGGTGGCGGCAGCAATGGTGGCGACGACGATGGTGAGGATGCGTCCGTGGTAAGCCTAGATCTGCAATCTTCTTCTAATCTCTTTCTAATTTCTTTCTCATAATTCTTTATTTCTTTGAGATCTAATGGTAGGGCTATGTCGGTGATGGTGAGAGTGGAGCGATTATGGTGGAGGGGGATGGTGGAGATGGTCGGAGAATGGATCGGTGGTGGAGCTGACGGCAATGGCTGGGCTGGCGGCGAGGAGGGGAGGGGCTATGGTGGAGGCTGTGGTGGGTTCTCAATGGTGGCAGGGCTGGGAAAGGAAGGGGAGGGTAATTTAGGCATTTCATGCCTTATTCAAGCCTCCACTAAAAATGAGGAAAAGTCAAAGTAGGAAGCTTATTCCCGGACAGAGGGAGTATAATTTAGACATTACTTTCAAGTCTTTTTGGCCAAAAATGTGATGTTACCCCTAGAGATCAAGGCCAAAACAAAAAAATTATAATTTATACATTACTGACAAGTCTTTTTGACATAAAGTTTTTACAAAGGATTTTACATGCAAATAGAAATATCCATGTCAAATTTGGCAAGTTTTTTGATGAATATAAAATTTGGCCAAAAATTGTGATGGTACCCCTAGAGCTCGACACTAAAACTAAAAAAAATTATAATTTAGACATTACTGACAAGTTGTATTGATATGAAACTTTTAAAAAGGATTTTACATGCAAATATAAATATCCATGTCAAATTTGGCACGTTTTTTGATTAATTTAAAATTTGGCCAAAAATGAGATGGTACCCCTAGAGCTCGAGGCCAAAACTAAAAAAATTATAATTTAGACATTACTGACAAGTCATTTTGACATGAAACTTTTACAAAGGAATTTACATGCAAATATAAATATCCATGTCAAATTTGGTAAATTTTTTGATGAATTTAAAATTTGGCTAAAAACTGTGATGGTACCCCTAGAGTTCGAGGCAAAACCAAAAAAATTATAATTTAGACATTACTTTCAAGTCTTTTTGACATGAAACTTTTAAAAATTATTTTACATTCAAAAAGAATATCCATGTCAAATTTGGCAAGTTTTTTTATTAATTTAAAATTTGGCCATAAAATGTGATGGTACCCCTAGAGCTCGAGACGAAAAGTAAAAAATATTATAATTTAGACATTACTGACAAGTCTTTTTGACATGAAACTTTTACAAAGGATTTTCCATGCAAATAGAAATATCCATGTCAAATTTGGAAATTTTTTTGATGAATTTAAAATTTGGCCAAAAATGTGATGTTACCCCTAGAGATCGAGGCCAAAACAAAAAAAATTATAATTTATACATTACTGACAAGTCTTTTTGACATAAAGTTTTTACAAAGGATTTTACATGCAAATAGAAATATCCATGTCAAATTTGG